CTGAAAATGGAAATCTTAAATGGGGAATGCGAGCATGTGCTTCATGTTCAAGCCGTCGAACGGGTTGCTTTTCAACCCGTTGTAAGTGCTTGTCGAATGAAAATTTTTTGAATCAGATTTGGACCAGACAGTAAAAGAGATGCTTTGCGAGATGCGTGTAAGCAGTATCTTGTCTCTATGGAGCCGGTAAAATCAGAAAGTTGGGCACCTTGGTTTTGCGGAAATTGGGCCGTGGGGCGGGGAGCTGGTGTTGGACCTTTTCTTCACCTTTTTTTCTTTTCCTTCAAACGTAGGCGTGATCCTTCCCAAGGAGTCAAAATTATTCATTACAAAATTCTTTGTCGTTGTGTGGCAAAGGTGGACTCCCACACGTGTTGGAAGCCATGACCATTTTAGAACTTGGTAGCAGTCACAGTGGTTATTGTGCTTTAGAACATGACTTGAACTGCTGATACACTAGCACACAAAGTAGTTGGTAGTTAGTTAGAGCTAGAAATTTGGAGGAAGACGAGAATTGATGTGCTACACAGTAAATCGTCGGAGTTCTGAGTGATTTTTTTGCTAGGTGAGCGTGTAACAGTCTGACGAGAAGTTAGGAAGATCAGTGAACAGTGGAGTTGTACAAATGCAGAAGTTAAAATGTATTTTTTGATAGTTTCTGTAGAGCAAAGAATAACAGAAAATATCCATCAAGAACGGGAGCAATTTGAAGGGTGTTGTCTACAGCTTGAAACTACAATACAGCCATGCGTTCTCTGAAAACCATTCATCTGAGTCCCGTATTTGACTCTAAAACGATGATGAAGTAAAGGGAATGGCAGGAGAAAGATGCTTTTTGAAATGTAACCGTAGGAACAATGATTTGGTTGCAGAATGCATTGATTCAGGAGCGGAGCATTTTAGCTGTGTTCGAGATCTTAGGTTCCAGACTAGAACTATGTTTAGGAGAAGCGGTGGTTGAACTGCAGAAGTGAGAGGAAGTAAGTGTTGAAGGCTCAAATTTGGAAGATTTGGCACTAAACGCAGCTTTCTTGGCTTTTTTTTTTTT